TGTTGCGACAATAATTAATTATATACACCATACAGCAGCAGCATTAAATGGGGCGTGAGGAGCACGAGGAGGAGCCGGAGGATGGAAGGAGCAGAGTGCGCGTGTAGTTTTCGCCGCAAGTATTTCATTTTATTTGCACGCCATTTTACAGCCGAGGCCGCAGACGTCAATGGCGGTGCCGACATTTCTTGTAGCAACCAACACAAGCACCACAAAAGCCGCTAAATGTCTCTACGATTTAGAAACTTTAATGCTTTAAAGCGCGATTTGTTAAACCGTCATCCATGTTGCCGTTGTTTTTGTTTCTCTTCCTGTTCCAATCATTCAACGTCAAAGCGAATCAGACATCAACTCCACACAGCTCTTCTCAACTGAACTGAACTCAACTCAACTGAACTGAACTGAGCTGAACTCGAATGCAATCGCACTCTCTTTCTGCATAGTTCAGAGGCCTGCGGGCGAGCAATTAAAATGCAATTTGAGTTATTTGTGCAATGTGGCGCCACACTCTCTATACTGCACACTCAATACTTTTTCAACTGCCACCCACAATGCCAGCGCTCTTTTTTTCCGCTATCCACGAAGTGTTGGTGTGTGTGCGTGTGTATGTGCATGATTTAGACATTTCAATTTGCATGTGTTAACATGCAATGCAAAAAGGATTCGATTCTTATCGCTAAACAACGCTCCAACTTATTCGCTTCGCTGGGGGCGACGCGACTTGACTTGGCCGCCTCCAACTTCGCAAACGATAAATGGCAGCTTGCTTCATAGAAAAAGTGCTTTGCAACATTGTTTCTCTTTTTTCCTTTTTTTCTTATATTTTTTTTGTCTTCATGCTCCTTTCACTTTGCCTGCAAGTTGAGGTTTATTAGTGCAGTGGCACGGCGTTGGCGCGCTTCGCATGCATTGTGTAGCTTAAGCCACCCATTCAAAAAAATACACCCAAACACAACTACAAAAACAATCGAAACAGTGGAGTAAATAGTAGTAATTACTGTCAACAAATTAGTTGAGTTATACACCCATAAGATTGTTCAAAAAAGCGGTTTATTTGAATTTATAAGGCGTTGCTTTAAATATCGATTACAAGTAAAGTACCAGTGGTTGGCTCAGGATTTAAATATTCATTTGGCTGTCTCGTAGACAGTAAAGATAGTAGAGTGTCTATATATGGACTAGAAGATGGAAATAACTAGAGCTGTCACACAACCATATTTTAGTACAACTTCTAAAATCGAACACTAACTTAAAAACCAACTGCTTTATTAGTTAATATTTTAAACAGCGATAGTGTAGCTTCCCAACAGTGAAGGAATCCATTAAATCACAAAATACACAAGCAACCAAATCTTTTCTCTTTATAATATTAGTATAGATTAGATGGACTTATTTATAATCTCAAGTATATAAGAAACAAATTTCGTTATTTTAAATGCCATCTGTCGAACTTGTTTTTGTCGCTATTGTATGATGAGACAATATTTGTATATCGTTTCATTTTAATCGGTTAGGGATTTAATTTAGCTTTTATAAAATGTTCAGTATCGGTCCGACCTCTTAAGATGTACATTTGAACTCCCACTGTAAAATACGACAAACTGCTTACCGCGCGTCGGCACACTACCATGCGCTTTATATGGAAATTTGAATATCCTGCGGTAATTTCCACCATTTTTAGTACTTTGTTGCCCTTTTGAACTGTCATTACTGCGGATTTTGCTGCATGCTTATGCAGGCATGTTCATACGAGTATGTGTGTTTGGTTTGATGACTGTGGGTGCTTATGCATGAGTTTGTGTGAATATTTGTATGTGCATGTGTGCGTGTGTGTATGGGTAACTTAGTTGGTTTGTATTTGCGTGTGGGCAAGTGACTGGCACTTGAAGCACCGCAGTACTGAACATTGGCTGGCACATCCTAGTGAGTGCTTAAGTGTGTAGCTTTTATGTGATGGGTTCTTAACTTTGACACACCATGGTTGTGTACAGTGAAGGTTTGGATCAGTGAAATAAATGAATAACTGATATACATTTTTTGGTCAATATATTCTTCCTTCGATATTCTATATGCGACATAAAAAGTTTATTTTGCTTTAAGAAGCTATAGAATCGTCCAAAACTTTTTTCTGCCTATAGCAAGAATTTGGTGAACTTGAATTTATAAACTCAATCCTAATACTTTCAAGTTTCTTTTCGTGTCAAAACCAAACTCTCCCTACTTTAGATACCGATCGTTATTTTTACAGGCTATTTCATTCAATTGTTAGAATAACGACTTGACTGAATAGTTAATTCTTCTTTTCTCATTATATTTTTAATTCAAATGCCTGCACGCATTAAGTCTCCACAAAAGAATATCTATAAATCATAAACCACCCACTACTATTTTAATTTCACTTGCATGAGAAGACATTGCATTATCTTTTCCCTATTTGAAATATTTACTGTAATATTTTTACTGTCAACAATTCATTTGCCTGCCACCAGAGTTACACTTCTTTGTATTTGTATTTTACGGCATTTTTGCATAAGCACTAAGAAAACAATCCTCGAAATCCAAAAATTCACAAGCATATGTAGTTCAGCCACCCGCAACATTTGCCAGACGTTCATAACTTGAATGATGGGTATTCGGCAGCAAATATACTCGTAGATATATGCATGTATGTGGATGTAAGTATACGAGTATGTGGAACGCGATGACACGTTTTTCTTGGCAGGGTATGGCCCAAAGCCACGCACACTTGCACATACAGATACAGATACAGATACACCCGTTTGGTCACACATACACGCACGCGTGCAATTAGAACGTTTTCTGCTGGCATTTTGCCGCAACTCGTTGATTGAGAAATTAGGCAAGTTTGGCTTTTAAACCCGACCCAACCCACTGACAAGAGTACGGCTTGGCACGAACGCCGGACTAGCAACGACTTATGTGGCATTAAAACGCTCAGAATCATGCTTCATTATGCCGTGGTCGCTGCCATTGCCATTGCCGTTGCAGATGAGGCATCCAATGCCCAGACGCAGACTGGAGGCCATTGCGTGTGGCAGTCGACTCATTTGCTCTTTTCAAGCCAGGCCCGTTGTCTGGACCCTCGACCAGCCTATTTCTCAAATGTATCTGCATGTGAACACATCTATATGTGTGTGTGTGCGTGTGTGTGTGTGTGTGGCTTTGTGCCTGTGCGTGACAGTTATACGTAGTTTGCGAAGTTTTGTTTGGCCGGCAGCCAGCAGCTATAACGTTACAACTTTGTTGCGAAAGCATAGCTGCTGTTGCTTTCCTTACTCCTCTTACTGCACTCAGAGAAACTGCGAATAGAATTTAGCAAACGAAATCGAAAAGAATAAGCGGGAACTTTTAGTATCCAAGACAATACTCGTACTCCTGCTATACGAGTATTTAAAGCTTGTCACTTATATTTAAAGATTTATTGGAATAATTAAGCTAAAATTTGAAGAAAAAAAACAATTTTGATAAGGATAAGCACCCTAATCCTACTTCTTATTTACTTCTTATTATTCAACAAAGAACGGTATTACTTTAAATTAAAACTGCACTTGAGAAGTTTTTAATTTTTGTATATATATTTACTCCCCATTTATTAAAAGCTCCTCACTATTCCTTAGTGTACTTACTGCCTCAGTTCGCAGCTCATTTTGCGTGTTCCTCGACTCCTAATTTCACGAGCTTGTGCTGGCCTTTGCCTGCCTGCCTTATAGCTCTCATCTCATTATAGCCAGGCTGTTTATGGTTAGGCCAGTCAATGGGCCAACAAACAACTAGAGCTTCAATTTCCCCACTAATCGACACTTTGACTAACAAATTTCATCGCTTTTTTCTTGTTCTTGTTGGAAGCTCAAGCGTCTTACGCAATTTTGGCACATTGATGAAGTTTTCTTTTTGGCTAAATGCTTGTGGTTTATGTGGAAAGTGCGTGCCTTGAATTAAAGTGGATATTGTGAGGGAAATTAGTGGAGGAAATTTGAGCTTGAAGTGCAGATATTGCTACTTCATAACTCATACTATATCGTATACAATACCAACACACATTGCTGCAGTCTGCTGTTTGTGTGTGTGTGTGCGTATGTTTGCCTCATTAACCTCAAAGCGAATGGGTTTCAATGCAGCAAACGCCACACAAAATTGACACGTTAAAGCGGCCATAAAATGCATGTGTAAACAAGACACAAACTCATGTCCAATTATGGCCAATAATACAGACACACCACCCACAAACAGACATGGGTCGTTACGCGCCCAAAGTTTTGACTCCGCTGCTCGCTTATTGCTTGTCCAGCAGTCATGGACATTCACACACACACACACAGACACTTATATCTATGTATATCCTACATACTTGTATATATCGCTGGAGAGGAGCGGCATGCTAAAAATAAATGAAGACATTAGCGACGCTCAAATGACATGTTATCGACTTTAGGTCAACAGCAACAACAAGAACAACAATGGCAGCTTTCGCAATTACTGTTATGCGCTGCTTTATAAAGCCGCACACACACACGCACGCACACATACCCACAAATAACTGAGCCGATTGTAGATCATAAACAAACAGCAATAAAGCGCACGACCTTTGGCGCGGCCGCAATATGACTTGGCTGGGGGATTGGCTGCCTTTGCCGGTTTTGCTGCCTTGCTGCCTTGCTGCTTTTTTAAGCGCTCATTTTAGCGCGCTTTAGATTTTTCAAATGATAGAGAAACATGCAAGCTTCCGGCGGAAGTGCAGGAGTAAGAGAGACAGAGCCAGGTCAGAAGTGAATGCTCGTCATATTCCCAAATAGACACACACAAAAGCCATTAACATACACGTACACATACCCGCCCATATGTTGGGTCATACATAGATGAGAATATACGGTATTTACAGTAGAAACTCTGCGAATAATCACTGTCCATATGAATAATTCAAACTTATTCGAATGTGCTGTCTCTTTGCATTACTAATTCTCAATTTACTTATTTTTCAGATCATCACCGTTTATGAAATTTATTGGTAAGACTAAATATTCGCAAATAACATATAAAATATTTAACAAAAAAACAACAGAAATTAGGGAGTTTAATTATAATTAATAAATAATAATTAAACGCAAAGTTTTTATATTTTTCCCTGAAACTTTTTTCCACTGTAACTTGTATTTGTGTGTTGTGGTGTTTCTTCCAATGTTTTTTATGCACACGATAAATTTTCATTTTGCCACACGGTTTTGCGCTTTTTTTTTACAATGATCCATTTGCTAGACGAACGCCTCACCCATGCCTGTACTTCCCAGCCAGTTCTCCTCCTCCTCCTCCAGCGCTGCCACACATATCGACAAGGCTCATCGGCAATCGCTTACATTCGCAGACATGCACATAAATATTTTAACAGCCGGCCGTTCGTGATAACAAAATGGCAGCAAACTTCACATGCCGTAAATTCTGCCATTTTGCAAATGAAAATTACCCTTTCGCTGTAGTTAAGTGCAAATATATGTAAAGTATATATATACTTGTATTATATATAGAGATTCGAGTATATATATACATATATGCATGCATAAGTGGAATTGCTTGTAAGTCAGAGATTTGGACGAGCCGAGGCACTTCATCATTGGCACACCGCTCGACCATCAACCTGCAACGGGCTGCCATCAATTAAAGGTCATTTACATGTCAATGCCGGGCAGACCACTACCCCAAACATGCAGCTAGCAATTTGTGCCATTCGAGTTGACTATTCCAGCCCCCTACTCCGCCCTCCACTGACTGCGTAATTGAAGCGTTTTGCCCAACGTCATTCTCCAGATGTTTATCGCCAACACACATGCGAAATGCGAAATCCAAATCCTTGCGACTTCCACCGAGCTTTGGTGCAAAATACTTTTGTTACCGAAATTGCATTTGTTACCCAAAAATACTTTGCAGTTTGTTATTTGAGCTCTCCCTCCGCCTTCGCCTCCGCCTCCGCCTCCGCCCCCGCTCTCCCTCCTTCGCTCTCCCGCTTTGTCTTTCTCTCGTTCTATAGTCGCTCTATAATTTGTAAAATTCCAACGAAATGCAAGTAAATGCGCCTGCAGTAGGACTTTATTTAACTTTTGTGGTGTGCGTTTTATTTAAAGTTGTAACTTCTGGCCTTTTTCCTCTTTTTTTGTGTTCTGGCTCAACATTTCAAATTAAGTCATTAAAAGGAAAAGGTGGCATGTTGTTGCGTTGAAATTGGTTGAAGTTGAAGAACTGTAATTGGCAGCAACTCATTTTTTCAGTAGCAGATGATGTTAATGCTCAACACTTGCACATTTTTGTAAAGCTGAGAAGTCGGAAAAGGGATTTAAGATCCCTTATTAATTTGCTGCCTTTTAAGTTGTCTAGCATTAATTACTTAGATTAAAATGTGTACAGGAGGAAAATAATATATAATAAGCTGTAGTTGAAAACATTATTAAAAAATATTCGCTTTAACTGAAAATGACTGAAATATGGGTAAATAATTAGATTATATGCCTCTGCAATAAGACTATATTTCATTATTATCTGCTTTCGTCTTAAGTATAAAGCTTCCCAAAATTGTATACAATTGTATGTATTACTCGTATTACTAACCAAACCAAAGGATTAAGATTACAGCTCTTTATCTGCTTCCTGGAGCAATATTATCAAGCCTATGTTTGGAGCAGAGGCGACTACAATATAAGCTTAAAGAAGAAGCGTAGATATACTATATACTATATAAGATACTATATCAAGGTGCCTATATTATTCATTCCTATTTAATTTCTTATAGCTATTCTCAAATTTAGTATTATTTATTTGTATTACCCCTTTAATTGTTAATTGTCTTCAAGAATTTCACGTTTCGTTCAAATATTTTTGTTTTATTTAATCGCTTTTTATTGCAAAACGCGAATGTATAACTATTTACAAGTATATTTCCCGCCAGTCACTCCATAGCTCTTCACAAATACATTTTAAGGCCAATAATGACGATGATGTGTATATTTTCTTCAGATTTTGTGCCTACACTTAAGATTTAATTTTGAACATAATTTTTAATTTTTAACAGTTAGTTATTATTATACCCTTTTACCATTTCTCTAACATTGTTGAACTGCATTGACAAACAGTCTATTGTCGCATCTTACACGCTATTTGATGCCAAAGCTTGTACATTTGCCAACAAGTCACGGAACTAAGACAATCTGCATAGCCTTTACAGATACATATGCATGAATGTGCTAATTTATTTATTACGCCTAAGGCGGTGCAAAAACCACAGCTCTCTGTCTGACTTGGCTTTCATACATGTGTCGGGGTCTGAAACTGTGTCTGGCCAATGGGAGGGTGCTCATAAAAAAAACAACTTGGCGCAATGAAAGTGCACAAATTTGGCATGGCATTAACGCCAAATGTCACAAGCATCCATACACACACACACCCATATGCACACACATACAAACATCTGTGCACATACAAAGGGAACAAACAGCGAAACGGCAAACAAACAAATGAGCTTTTTGTATCGCGCACGCGGCGGGGCGCGCTTCTCCAGCACTTTTGTTGCAGGCTGCCTGGCAGCCAGCCTGATTTGCATTCTGGCCATTGTTTGCTCACGACGCTAACGCTGAGGACGCTGACGACGCTAACGCTGAGGACGAGGACGAGGACGGCGACGACAACGGAGGCGGCAATTTATGTGTGTTGCATTGTTTATGACAGATTTATCGCGAGTTAATGACATGCACTGTGATTTATGAAGCGCACACAAATATGCCAGCCAACTGTCGCCGACGGACGATGGACGATGGACGGGACGTTGAACGACCGAGGAACGGATGACGGACGAGAAGCGGACAACTAAGTGACGGATATGAGCGTGGAGGTGGCCGTTAGGTGGCGCTAATGAGCTTTCTCATAAGCTCCAGTGCAAATGCAAAAGTTGGCATATACTTGTAAAATAAAACTACTTGAGAATTCCATTTAAACTTAATAATTTGACAACTTTGTCTTTTGTTGTTTACACTGTCACCATCGCCCCCTCTGCCTCCCTTCATGCAGCACCCCCTGCTGATGGTTGTTGGTCCACTTATTTGCCCATTTTCGTCGTTGCTTTCGTTGTTGCCAGAAAACAAATTTCCAACGATGACGGCTGACATTTATACAGACTTGTTTGTCATGACGTTGTCGCTTGTTGGTTGGTTGATTCTCCTCGTTCGCCCGCTCCCTCTTCTTTAACTATGAAAGTTACCGCTGCTGCTGCAGCTTTTGTTTGTCCTTCGTTCTGTTTGCTGTTATTTTTTGTTGTTGTCCTGCCGATGCCGCGCACTGTAATTTTTATAATGAGAAATTGTCAGCGCATAAAATGAAGTTCAGCCAAAGACAGCTGACGCTGATGGTTGGCCAAAACGACCAGCCCACAATACCCTTAGTGCTCAATACGCGTACAGAGACCACCCAACTACCCATTCGCCCATCCGCCCAGCCGCCCATCCACCCCCACCACCCAACCGCCCATTGTTGTTAATTTAAAGCTTTTGCAAATTTCCGTTAAGTCTGCGTCTGGGGCATCTGTCCATTGTGTTATTGTTGTTGTTGCTGCTGCTGCTGCCACTGGTGCCGCTGCTCTACATAATGAACGCGTTCAGAACTTTTCCTTCTTTTACAAACGGGCAAATATTTATGCACGATGTTGTTGATTACAAAAAAATAAGAAAAAAAAAAACCAACGAAAAAAGTTTTTTTTGCTTTTACTCACTTTTTTCTCCATATTGTGCCACGCCGTTATTTTCTTTTTGGTCCTCTTTTCCGTGCGTCCTCTTCATCTAGAGAGTGTTGCAAGTAGGTTAAAATAAAAATTTTCAAGGTTCAATGCTCAGCAAAAGAAATAAACTTGGCTTTTGTTCGAGCGCTGTGGCATAAGTATGTACCTTTCTACTTATGTACAAGTGTGTGTATGTATATATGTACATAGAATATATATGGGACACAAACTTTGCAGCTCCTTGACCTTACCTGCGAAACTTGTTTGCCATATAAAGTGGATGAAAAAGACAGCCAGACACATTGAGACGGAGCGAAAGAGAGATAGAGACCTACATTTTACCTTTGCGTGTGGCACATGCGAAATAATATCCATATATTTATGTATAGGTATACCTTTGTTTGAAAAATGGCACCACTTTTAGCAACGCTTTTACTTTCTTTAGGTCAGTCATATATTTCAATTAAAGCTGAACATGCAAAGCGTCAACTTGTAAATATATGCCGAAATATAAAGCAATACAAAGGAATTTGTTGCCGACATTAACTGTTTATTATATTTTATGTGAAACGACATGCGTGTGCTCATAAAAAGCAACAAAATGATTTATGCATGACAACATAATGTGCACCAAAAAAAAAGCAAACGAAATTCCAAAAATAGAAATTTAGAATTACGTATATGATAAAAAATTAGTTAGGTAAAGAGTTGACTTAAGTAACTTAAGTATCTTTGTATCAATAGATAATTAATAATATCTTAATTTTTACAACGTTTTAAATAACGGCACTCAAAACGAAAATTATTAATATAATTAATATAATATGTATTAATTATTGGAGTTGAAGTCTGCAAGTTGAATGCCTTTAGTCGTTATTTCAAATCGTTATTTTTCAATTTCTTTAGTTCAGTCCTTCGCAAGACTCTCACAGGAATAAAGTTATATTTTTATCAAATACATATTACGAATCACACATTTTGAAACTCCTTTTTAAACAATTTTAAACTAATTTTTAAAACAAATTCATACTTTATTCTTCCAAACAACTTTTAGTTTAGTTAGAAACGGTAGTTTTTATTCATTTCTACGGTTCTTACAATAAAATAATTTTCTATTTATTTCGATTTTCAATTTCGCACAAGAAATAATTGTTAACTAATTAACATATTATCTATACATACATACATAATCTATAAGGCGCTTAACAATTTGTTTACTAAATTCTTATTTAGCATAACTACGAGATGTTATTTTT